AAGAAAACAATACCCCCCCGCCCGGCGGCAGACGACCAAGGGACACTGGGGAAGCCCTGACGTGCCCGCCGCTCCCGTGGAGCAGCTTCCCCGCCCCGCTTCAAGAACTGCACGTGGCTCCGCGCTGGGCGACCCGCGTCGCTAAGAAGCGCAAGGACGAGACCGGGAAATACAAACCGGTCAGTCCGCGGCCGCCGTCGCCGCCGCGGAACCGAAGCGCGCAGCCCGCTCCGTTCAGTGCGCCGCGCATCTTAAAACCAACCAAGTCCTCTCTGGGGTTGACGGGCCCTCGAGCGACAAAGGCGAGCGAGCGAGGCCCCGGTTCTTATCAGGCGACTAACGAGCGCTTCCGAGCCCCTGGGCAACGCGGCTCATGGGAAGCGCGGTCCCAAATAGCTGCAGGAAACTGGACTGACTACCTCTACGAACAAAAGCAAAGGGAGGAGGAAAGATCCTTTCCTGTCAGTTTTCGAAGACCGTGGGCTTTAGCGGGATTGCCCAGAGATTCGCCCTCAAGATAAACTGGGACTGCAACTCCCCAAATGCACAACCAGCACGCGTGAATAATGCGGGGTTGGGGTAGCCTGTTCAACGTCCGAAGTTGCGCTCGACTGCCGGGAGGGAGGTTGCTTGTGATGGGGAAGGCATGGGAGTTAATAACCTCTACCTGGCATAACATGATAAACTGTAAATCATGGTTTAAATATCACGGTGGCTAAGGTTAAGCCAAACAAAACACATTCTGCTTCGAGGAGGTACGAACCATCACCCTAACCCATGAGTGTTTTGGTTTAGCGTATCATACGAACACAACCGTAGTGGCTTGTTCACGGTGGTTTCTGGTTTAGCGCTCTGTGCGAACGCAGCTGAGGACTGCCAGCTTTATACCCCTTTACAAGAAGCCTCACCTCCTTTAAATCAGTGGGTTCCTGCTCCCTTAATTCTGCTCAGGGTCCGTCCCATCAACCGCAGCTCGCAGTCGGTTGCTCAAGTGCCCCAAGATTTTGCTGCCTGAATCTCTACCTTCCAACTCTTGGATCATTCGCCTGAAGCCCCATCCCTCTGGCTAATCACCTCGGGCTAGTGAATCCAGGAGGCAGAAGGGTTCCTACAGCTGCTCTCACAGGAGAAAGGAAATATTTTTTAAAAAGAATCCTATTGATAAAACTTGCCCGATCCCCACCAGTTAAGCCAAATTTGCGAACGGCCACCGCTAAAACGATGCACGGTAGTAGATTCTATCGCCTCTCAGACCGGTCTTCGCCTGGAGGATCGAATCTGGGACAAACTAATTATTTCGGATTAAGTGCCTTGAGGACCGTAGTCCTGGAGTGCCCCTCAGAGAGGCTAACTAAATAAGCGCCTGGTCAGGCTGTGGAAACGTTTTAGAGCACAGAGCATCAGAGCTTCGCTGTTCTTCCTTGGTCGGATGCAGTCTATCGGCACAGCCAGCCTGGACTAAGTACCTTTGCAGAGGAACTTAGATGACAAAAGGGTTCCTCGACTTACCCGCGTGCTGAGCTCCCTGGCTGATCACAAAAAGTAGGGGAAGGATCAACCGCTTGTAATCCATCCCGACGGTTGCTCCGGCAAACCCAGGGGCAGGCAGCGCAATTACGCCTTTAACCCGCTTTACTCCTGCGGCAGGTTGCAGGCAGTCACGAAGCGGATCGATCGACCGACCCCTGAACCAGGTTCCTCGCCGCAGTCCGCCGGGCAGCAGAGAGGAGAGCTGCGCGCAAGGAGGAGGAGGGGGGCGGAGCAGGTGGGCTGGCGCTCCTTCTTCCAGCGAGGCTCGGCGAGCGCTTCTGGCTTGGTTGACTCTCGGCGGCTCCTTTTATACGCACCCCTAGAGAGCGGAGTAAACAAATCCTACTTTATTATGTTATTGTGTTATTAGTCACCGAGAGTCAACGTGCAGAAGAAGATAAGGGCAGGCTGGAAAGGAAATCGCTGCAAGCTTCAGAGAGGCAGACGCCGTCTGGCAGGGTTACACAGGAAAATAAATACTCGGCGCAGACTTTTAGGAAAGGAAGACTCCCGAGAGCGAAGGGCGCCTTCGGCACTCCGCCCGCAGGAGGCGCACTGCTAGCCGGAGCCGCGGCAGGTCTCCCCCCTCCCCCGCCCCGCTTGTACGGTGAAATCTTTCTGACGCAGCATTGAACAATAAGGAGAATAGTTGTATCTTTCCCCTTGTTAAGCATGTGCACCCATATTTTTTTTTAAAAAGGTGTTGAATCTTAGTGCTCTCAGCCCAGATCACAAACCCCATCTAGGCTAGCTAGCTGATTAGAACTGGTGGGGTGGGGGCATCAGGTTGGGAAGATTGAATTATCATGGTGTTATTTTTAAAAACTATCCAAATATTTGGTTTCATAGACTGCAAATTTCTATAATGATCTCCTGCTCATAGAACCAGTCCTATAAAATAACAGTCACATGATAGCTGCAGGGTTTCCATTATCCCTCTAAAACAGTAATCATGGCCTATTGCCCTGTATTGCAGAAGAGCTCCTTGAAATGGAGGTTTGTTGCAAAGTCCATCTAAAGTAATAGTCATTCCAGATAAATGTTCTTCCAATTTTGTAACAAACTGCAAATGTGCTTTCCTAGATTTAAGCCTGGCTTTAAGTAGCTTTGGGGGTCTCCCTTCATTATTCAACCCTTTTCTCATTTAAGCAGCTTTTCAGAGCTGACTGACACCTGGGAGAAAGAGGACTTCTGTCCGTGATGATTTCCAAAAACAAAAGAAAACCAAAACGACACATGCTCGTTCAGAAGTCCAAAGGTACCTTGATTGTTATGGGGGTATCAACATTCATGCAACAGTGCTGACCAAGACACACACACACTGTGTGTGCATGTGTGTGTATATATATCTACAACAGAAATAATAGAACCAAACCATCATGCAAGAATGACTGTTGGGGTTATATTGCAGAAGAACAAGAAGAACTGGCAAAATGCTGTGACAAGATATCACTTGCATCCATTACCCTACTTAGTTCTAGAACACTGTTTTTCAAACTTGGCAACTTTAAGATAAGTGGACTTCAACTCCCAGGATTATCCAGCCAGCATGGTGGCCATGGAATTCTGGAAGTTGAAGTCCACACATCTTAAAGTTGCCAAGTCTGAAAAACAGTGTTCTAGAAGGCTTGGACTTGGGACTCACTAGCAGTTCCAGCAGGAAGGGGTCCCTTGCAGACTTAGTTTTGCAGCCTGCAATGCACTCTCAGATTACACTGCCAACATTCAGCAGCAACAGCCTATTTTTGATGACATGGATGCATTTTATTCCCCTTTCTCTTGCAAAAATGAGAGATAAAATACTACAGGAGCCCTCACATACATATACATAGAGCAGGCCAGGAATTTGAAAGGTATCCCTCTGTGGATGTTACACAATTACAGGCCAGGCTCCCAGTGGCCCTTAGAGGTCAAAAAAAGTGCACACTTGGCCCAGAAGAAATGCCTACAGTACTTCTGCAGAGAGAGAGAAAGAGAACAGGTGTAATTTCCCTCTTTGTTTCAACCTGGGCCTCTGCCAAATGCGCTTCCTCTACATGTGTCCCTCTGGGCTTTGAGCAAAATCAGTCCTTTTTCTTCTGGTTTTATTTTCATTTTCCACCCTTCAACAGTCATCTTGACATTGCATATATCCTACATGTTCACAGGTCCTGGTTGGGCTGACTTTTTTTTTAATATGTAGGTTTATATAGTTCAGAATAATAATAATAATAATAATAATAATAATAATAATAATAAAAGAAGAAGAAGAAGAAGAAGGTCATCTTGACATTGCATATATCCTACATGTTCACAGGTCCTGGTTGGGCTGACTTTTTTTTTAATATGTAGGTTTATATAGTTCAGAATAATAATAATAATAATAGAAGAAGAAGAAGAAGAAGGTCATCTTGACATTGCATATATCCTACATGTTCACAGGTCCTGGTTGGGCTGACTTTTTTTTTAATATGTAGGTTTATATAGTTCAGAATAATAATAATAATAATAGAAGAAGAAGAAGAAGAAGAAGAAGAAGAAGAAGAAGAAGAAGAAGAAGAAGTCCCCCAGTGAGGCACTACCTTGACGTAGTTGTGGGGCTTGTGTGCTCCGAGGAAGATGAGAGCTATGCTAGAAATTCAGCCATACTGGACAGTTCTCATCAGAGGAGCCAGACAAACAGTGCCTCTCCCATAAACAATATGAGCTGTAATTTACAGAAAAATACAAGATTGGTCATTGCCTGCGTCAACAAGGACTGTGCTAGGTGTTCTAATTCCTGGACATCTGGGGACACGTGGGCTACAGGACTCAGGACTGTGGC